TTCTGAAGAAGAAAAGAAAAGAAACTGGGAAATGCAAATGACAAAAAATATAAGAGATTATACTAAGGTGCACAAGTTTGCTTTTCTAAATTAGTTCACTATCTGCCTTTCACCAAGTGATCATGAAAAATGTGTATTCTGTTAGTGTTTCAGCTTCCTTATCAGTAAAACAAAGATTTAAAATAAATGACTCTCACAAGGAACTTTAATTCATGATACAGAAGCAATGACATGAGCCAAATGCTACTAGGGAAAGAAGAATTACTTTGATTTTACTATTTATTATGTAAATGTTAATTAATCCTAGTTCAGAAAAGTTCCACTGTACATGGTGCTTTATAGAAACATGGAAAAAAATTGACACTGAATGGTAGAGATTAAATAAAAAAAGAGAGAAAAACAAAGATCCATAGCAACTTCACAAAAGTAATCATAAAATTGTAGACCAACATAAACATGTGCTGTAGTATTTCTTTTCCGTATGTGAATAGAGCTGAGGTACAAACAGAAGCAGGGTGGAATTCGCATTTTTCTTCTCACTATCAGAACTGTCAGTATAAAAGAAACAGACACTGTTTTTTTGAGAGGCTGAAGAGACCACAGAAAAACGAGGTAATGAAAAATCTGAACTTTTTTTTTAATCAAAGCGCAGCTACTGTGAGAAAAGTATCTTTCATAAAAATAATAAGTTTTCATTTCATTCCAAAGAAGAAGGAAAGCAGGCTTCTGAAACATGCAAACTATCAACAGTATAATTTCTAATTCCTATTTCCAAATCCTGGGAGCAACACAGCAACAGTCAAGACTCTTTTTCATTACCATTTTCAGGCTATAAGCATTTTGGAAAGCCTTGACACCAGCCGAAGCGGCCAAAAGAAAAGGGAAAAATGTAACTAAGAAAAATTCAGCAATCTGAGAAACATCAAAACATATATCAAGGGAGGAAAGAATCAGCTTAGCTGCAGATAGAATTTGCTTTCACATTTCCTTCTTTACAATTCTTGAATAATGCTAAGGTCTTTTTTATTGTTTCCCAGTGAAATATCCAGTCAGAAATATCCAGCTTTGTATAACTAATTCCTTTCTACACTCAGATTAGATAGCATTGTAAATTTCTTCCCCTTTCTGACTTCCTAAAGAAGTTGTAATACCACATTTCTGAGAATATGAGGAGCCAGATGATGATCTGAAGGACCTAATCAGCCTCAAAAGACACCATCCTCCTTTTTCATCAAAGGTATTTCTCAAGGATGTTTCATTCACAAGAGTAGCAGCATTGCAGAACGACAGAAAGGTTTAGGTTGGAAAGGACTTCTAGAGGTCATCTTTGTCCAGCCTTCACACCCAAGCAGGGACACCTATAACCAGTTGCCTAGAACCAGGTCCAGACAGATTTTGAATGCCTCCATGAAGGGAAACTCTGCAAGATCTCTCAGCAAACCTCATATCAGTACAAACATAAGAGTATGTTATGCCCCAATGCTCTCTAAGATTGTAATGTTAGCAAGCAGTTATTTTAAAATAACTGATTCTCATTTATGTTCTCCTTCAAAAAATATTCTTTGGCTTTAGCGTCAGATAGCCTTGGCCAGGTTCCAAAGTTTTTTTAAAGAAAAAATTAAATGGACTTCTATTTAGATAATTTATGCAGAAATTACTGTCAGTTTCATAGGCAGCTACTGATCCTCACTGTGACTGGAACTAATAACTATTACCAAGATATGATAATTTCATTTAACATTAGGAAACCATCTGGTGCCTTCATTTCATGTTGTAACACAATGACACTGTTTTGCTCAATCCAGTCTCATTATAAGAAGACAAAGCAGCTAAGGAAAAACATACACACAGATGATTAATTTATCTCCTCAGACACCTTTGGGCAACCCCTCCAGAAAATATACTCCCATAGATTTTTAAAGTAGGAGGGAACCACTAAAATCTAATCTGAGCTAACGATGGCTATGTATTTCATTGAATAGGCTCTAAAAAAAGCTTGGGCTATGCTATATGTATTCTCTTCAGAGTAGCTGATGGATGAATCCAGTTGACTACTGGATGAGTTCTAATGGGGATGGGTTTAATTACTGACAGTCTTAAAAACTTGCACTTCATTTTTGGTCTAAATTTGCCTAATTTTAGCTTTGAAACACTGGATCTTGTTATGGCTTTTTTTTTTTTTTTTTTTTCCTGCTAGATTAAACAGTCATTTACCGTCAGAAGTCTCATTCTCTTTAAGGCACTTACAGAAGGTGATCAAGTCACTTCTTAACATTCTCTTCAGCAGATTAAATAGCACAATCATCTTTAGCCTTAAACTATAAAACTTTTCTTCCAGATCTACAGCTGTTCTTTGACTTTTTATGAATACCTTCTAATTTTAAACTTATTGTTGAAATGTGGTCACCAGAAAGGGACAAAATATTTCATTAATAGATTCCATAATGTCATATACAAAAGCAGTATTTCTTCCTTCCCGATTCATTTGTTCATATAACAAACTAATATTTACTGTATTAAGCCACACTTCATCTGTGTGATAAAATAATCTGTTTGAAAAGCAATTTAAAACATTCTTATACTAGTTTTCGTCCACAATGCAGGAAGAAATAGGCAACTGAAGCCTTTCTGTACTATCTATTTTTGGCGTCATTTCTGTACATTAAGACATTTTTCTGATTTATTTTTTATTTTTGTCTTCTTTGGTCATTTGCCTATTCTTAAGGGTCTTTTTTATAATAATTTTATAGTAGTACCTATAAACTGCTAGCAGTATCTAGTACTCTAAAATCTTTTAAGGCAATTTCCCTTCAGACTTGTTTTCTTTTCTCCAAGTAAGAAAATCACATTCCTGAAGTAATTTGTGTATAGAAAATACAAATTTACTTTGCAAACTCAACAGTATAGACAGAGTAGAACTACAGTATTTTGTTTTCTGGTATTTAAACCTTCTCAAGTAAAACTACCTCATTTTACCAGAAAGCTTACTGGAACAGATAGACACTTTTCTACTGTAGAAATATTTAATTTAATTTGATTATATTCCTTATACAGTTAGCTCTAGTAAAAAGCATTTACATCAAGCATGCTCCAATTTCCACTTGGAAACTGTTTCAGACACCGAATGAATCAAATGAGATTGTATTTATTTCTCTTTTGAGCATGATTTCATCTTATTGGCTGAAATACAAGAACAGTTGTGCCTACTTCTAATGCTTAAGTTTGGATACATTTTACTAGGTACAAAATTATACTAATTAATTTCCATACTTCTTAGATAAGATATTAAACTGATCAGAAAAAAAGTATTTGGAATAATTTATTTGCTAGCTGACCTTTCAGTGCATTTTTATCTTCCAAAATAATATCTACAACTTGTTCACACACAAAGTCTAAATATGTTTGTTCAGTAAAGTAACCTTAATTTGGCCTAAAGTTCATAAGCAGAATAAAATCCAAAGTTTTTTTTCTGGTTTCTCTTTCTCATTCATAATAAAGTAGGAGAATTCAGTATTATAATAAAGCAATATTAAATAATGTGATCTAATGCCATTGCTCTGTTAAGTTCAGGGTATTTCAAAGACATAAGTCTATGCACAATTCCTATTTTGATAGAATTCTCTCTCATTCACAACTACAATTTACAAGAAAAGCATAAAATATATCTAGCTAAATAAAAACAGAAGAAGAAAGAGAACAGTAAGAAAGAAACATGCAGAAAGAAAGTAGTATAGTGATATGTGGATGGAAAAACATACAAAGAAGAAAACATCATCTCTAAAAGAAAAGACAAATCACACATTAAAAAAAAATGAAAAAAAATAAGACAGAAAGTTAAAGGTTAGAGGAAGGAAAACTAAGAGTTAGGAAGTTGCTTCTGGTAAAATTACTGCTGAAAAAATTATTGGCAAGTTAAAATTGCTTTCTGATATTTTAGAGTCCACAGTTTCAGTCTCAGAAAGAACAAGTTCCAAGCCTTCTTCAGGATAAGAATGAAAATAAAACCCCATAGTATTTTCTGGTAATATACATTGTGTCATCTATGTCCTGAGACTTAAATCATTTTCACACTTTAAAAAAATCCAAGCTTATAAACTTTCTTTCAGTTATATTTCATTTAATTACTTGAAATATTTCCTGACATCTATAGACTTCTAATTGACTACTTACTTCTATTGACGTCCTCAGCTTCTTTTCTAAGAAGCATTCTGCGGAAAATACTGTGAACATTCCCAATGCAATCTAAAAGTTAAGCAGTCTAAAACATTCTGATACACTGAAGTTGATTTTAATTTCCAAGCAACAGACGAGAGATCTATATATGTATATATTTTTTAATAAAACAGTGTACCCTTGGATAGCCTGTAGGGTTATAACAATAAATAGCGACTTTTTAGACACCAGATATCTGAGAGAAAAAAAAAAAGAAAAAAAAAAGAAGCAAACATCTCTGAATCTGTTTACACACTCTTCAATTTCTGGGCCAGCTTATATTTTGTACCTTATTTTGCCTAGTTTCAAATGCCAGTGCAACAGTCACCTCAAAGCTTTAAGTGAGAACATAATGTCCATCAAAACAGAATACATTACCAAAGAGCCTTCAAAAGATTTTTCTTTATCCAGCTTCTTATATCCATAGAGAAGTCCAGTTGCTTGAGCAAAGACAAAATATGATGCTACTGAAATGATACTTCAAATCCTGTTCCAAAAAATCTCATTCTCACAGGAGAACTATCCAAACAAAGTGTTCATGTTTGTTCATTTACTCTGTTACTATACATTAGATTCTTAAAGCAAAAATCATTTAAAAAACTTGTTATTTTCCATGAGAGATTTTTCATTTGCTTCATTTGCTATCTTGTAAACCCTAAGAAAAGAGATTTTTAGTTGCTTTTTGCTTGCGGGGAAATAATTTCCTTTGCTAAACCTCAGCAGGCTTCACAGATCTTTCCTTCCACAGTTGTGATATGTTACCTTTTCAAACAGAATGTAAAGCTTACCTTAAAGAAAGTCATGGTTGCTCCATCTTCAACTGCCCCATACTCTATCTTTGTCTGCTTAGCCAAGTCATCAGCAGAATCAATAGGGGATTCCATACGTTCCACTGTCAGAAAGGCGGCTAGGTTAGCAGTGTACGAGGAAATGATGATAAGTGTGAAAAACCACCAAATGCCTCCCACTATCCTGGTGGAGAGGGCTTTGGGCATGAGCTCAGAACCTAATAAAAATCAGGGGAGAAAGGTGAAACCAGTGCACAGGAAACAATTAGTAAGTGTTCAACACTTTTTGCCACAGTGGGGAGATGGAATCACTGTGCAAAAAAAAAAAAAAATCTTCAAGCTATAGGCTCATGTGTACTACTTGTACAAACACACAACTGAAATGAAAAATAAGGACTGATTACATTTACAAAGACAGATTTTTTGGAGCTGTGGGTATTAAAGGATAGCAATGGGAGATTAAGTTATCAGTGTTTTAAAAAAATATTTAAAGGAGTTACTTAAACTGGCTTTCCAGAAAAAAAAATCATGGCTGGACTAAGCCTCTAAATCATTATTATTATTGAAGCATACAGTTCTTTAACTTCAAGGCATAAAATAAGAATTTTTTAAATATTTTGTAAAATCTCTTGATTAAATTTAAAAAGTTTCTGATGGAAGGAACAGATACAAAAAAACTATTTCATATCTGAAACACGTAATATAAAATATAATATATATTATAAGCATAAAGGAATAATCAAATTTTGCTGTTAGGTAAAAAGAAATATCTCCCATCTCTATAGTTAGTCACACAATTTCAGATAAACATCTATGTCATGTTTCTAATTTGATAGAGCAGCAATTAAAATACTAGACTGCTATGCATAAACTAGATAGATAGATAGATAGATAGATAGACTATAATGCATTGCTGGAGTTGCCTGCTCATGGCACTAAAGAATGGAGGGGACTACAAATACTGTATAGTAATTGGCATAATTAATAAAGTTAATTTAGAGTCTGATGAGAAAAACTGAAGCACATATACTTTTGTGCATAATTACTAAAAATAGGAAAAATAAAATTTAATGTAATTAACAACCACAAGAATTTGTTAATAATGAGTATGTATGGATTTCTGTCCATAACTCTATAATTAAATGTAATGAAATTTCTAATGTTGAATAAATAATTTCAAGCTTCACTGAAAGAACATTATAATTTTTTTAAATATATGTAAAGTTGCTTTAAGAAAAACAATTTTACCACATCCACTACATCACTGTATCAAAGCAATCCATTTTTGTTAATTGGTCAATGTTTGTTTCTAGATCTCCTGGGTAAAATGGAATGAAGGCAAGATGGACTATTTTATTCCTGTTAAATTTTACTGTTCATATTGAAACATTTAAGGAACTGGTCCAGCAAGGTAACACATCTTCATATAAATGAAAGATTATGCCAAACTTTCAACGTGAATGCCAAAAGAATAAAACAAAGGGGGAAAAAAAAGGGTGGGGAGGGAGGGAGAGGGGAAGAAAACCAAAGGAAAGAAAAAAAGAAGTGGTATCGTAAC